CGGAGCGGCAGCGGTCGATGCCGATGCGTTCGACAGCGCCTCTATGTTTGCTTCGTAATGCAAGGCGCACTCCCGATATCGGTGACTGAATTACGTAATGCAACGGGCAATGATAGCATATTACGTGAAGTCATTAACTACATTCAAAACGGATGGCCTAAAAAAATTATTAACACAGAAATTAAGCCTTACTATTTATGTAGATTGCAACTGTCCGTTGAAAATGGTTGCGTTATGAGGGGTCATAAAGTGGTGATACCAGGGAGTTTGCGTCACCGTGTTTTAGCAGAGTTGCATACCTCACACATGGGCATAGTTAAAACTAAGGCTGAAGCTCGATCTCGATGTTGGTTTCCAGGCTTAGCGACGCCCTAGAAAATATGATTAGCTCATGTGAGGTGTGTATGCAGCTACGACCGACTCCGCCGCGCACTCCGGTGTGTCCGTGGGAATACCCCCGCAATCCTTTTACCGTGTACACCTAGACTTTCTAGGTCCGCTGAATGGTCGGATGTACCTCGTCCTAGTAGACGCGTACTCCAAATGGCTTGAGGTGTACGAGATGGGTTCCACAACTACTAGTGCTGTCATTGAAAGGATGTATGAGTACAGGTCCAGATACGGATTGCCTCATACGGTAGTAACAGATAACGGCACTAATTTTTGTTCTCAAGAGTTTCTTAGTTTTTGTACACTAAACGGTATATCTCACATAACTTCGCCAGCATACCATCCGGCAAGTGACGGACAAGCCGAAACTTATGTGAAAATTGCAAAAAAGGGAATTAAAACTTGTTTGTTGAGTAGTACAAATGCTAGGGAAAACAAACTGCGACTATACAAATACGTTTTCGATTATAGAAACTTAATTCACTCAACAACAGGAATGTCTCCGGCACAGTTAGTGTTTGGTCGCAAATTAAGATCGCGTTTAGATTTAATGAACCCGCGTTCGCCGCCGTCACCTTCATCTGCTTCATTAACTGATTATGTTGCATCTAAACAGTGTACGCAAAGTAAACCGAAAGGAGGGGAAGTTAGAAATTTCGAGCAAGGTCAAGTACCTAATTATGTACAAAAAATATCTTAGTAATAATAAAAATACGTGGTGTAAAGGTGTGATAGTAAAGAGAATCGGTAAAAACTTATATATTGTAAAAGACTTTAAATCTTCAATGCAGTTGAAGAGGCACTGTGAGCAGCTCTTTTCGTGCAAAACTATCCATGGTGCCACTCAACCCTGGGACGTTGACTTGAGCAGTTCGATTGCTCCAACCGCTGCTAGTCCGACGCCGAAGTCGATGTCATCGCCTTGTGAAGATAGTAGCGGCATCGAACTTCACACACATGACGGAGAGAGTGCGAGTCAGGAGGGGAATGAGGAGAGCCGCCGTACAGCGCTCTCTAGTGAATGTGACAATCAGCCGAATCGGGAGTCACCGGAACCGAGCCACGTAACTGTCACGCGAGGAGTGCGTCGACCCGCACAGTCTGAAGAGGGAGATCTGTTCTTCGAGGCTGAGGAGGCGAGCTTGGAGCCTCAAAATATTAGGGAGCCCAGGTTTCCTAAACTTAACCGTCCTAAGGTTAATTATAGACAGTTTTACTAAATTTGTTAAAGGAAGTAATTGTTTAGTTATATAGAATTGTTTCTAGTACCTATACGTCTTGAATTGTTAAGGAAGGAAATGTTATGTTTGTAATAAATGTTAGTGTGTCACTGGCCGTCTTGAGTATCACTTGTCCCCATACGCGCTAACACAATAAAAACGGAAAACCTAGCGCTCGGAAAAGACTTAAGGAGAGACCATTCTGAAGACCAAGTGTACTTAGTCTGGCCATAAATACTGTTACAATTAAAAAAGAAGAAAATGATATTGCAAATAACATTTATTACTTTTACAGTGTGTTAGTATAATATATAAATATAAAACAATTTAAAGTATAAAAAGCTTATTCGAAGTGGTCTCCATTGGCTGCAATACAGGCGTTTAAACGTTGAGGCCAGTTATCAATAGAAGCAAGCACTCTTTCCATGGGAAAAATTTTCACTGCCAATCGTACGGATTATTTTAGGGACTCCAAATTATTCCGGATTAAGATCGGGACTAGACGACGGCCAGTCTTCAGCTCTGATGAAGTCCGAAACGTTCGTTTCCAATCAAGACTGCGTAGACCGAGCTTTATGACCTGGCGCCGAGTCTTGCTGGAAGGACCATTCTTGATTATTGAACATGGTGATGTTAAGGAGCTTCACTACCTTCTCAAGAATGGTATCTTGATACACTTGTGCTGATGTTTTGATACCTTTTTCACAAAAGTATGGCTCAGTCACTCCTTCATAGCTAATACCACACCAAACCATCACTGAAGTCGGATAGTGCCCACGTTGCACTCTGTCGACTAATTGGGAAGCTTCCTTAGAGCTTTGACCATAAATACGGTCATTTTGTTTTTTAAAATGTTGCTCAATTGTAACAAAATTCTCATCAAACAAAATTTTTCTATGACCTCCCTTTGCGTACCGCTTCAGTAGTGGTTTCGATTTTACCACCCTATTCTCTTTTAAATGATCAGTTAAGAAATGACCAGTACGTCTCTTATAGGCTGCAAGTCCTAAGTCATCTTTTAAAATACGCGACATGGTTCTAGGTGCTGTCTTCATCTCCCGAGATAAAATCTTTTGCTTTCAGACAGGATTTCTTCGAATTCTTTCCCTTACTTCCCTTTTTCGTACGAACACTACGTGGACAGCCAGATCTCTTTCTGTCACAAACAGAGGAGGTCTCAATGCCCCTATTAATAGCCCGGTACACAAACATTTTACTAATCCCAAGCGTATGGAGAGTTTTAAAAATTGCATTTGGCTCCATACCTACTTTGTCTAATGTAATCACAGCGATTCGGTTCTCTTTATCACCCCACTCCATTTTAATATCGCAAAATATTGTACAATGTATTGGCGCCAAAATGAGAAAACTCAATGAACAATCATATAAAAATGACAGATTCCAAATTTAAATGTAATATTTTGTTTATTTTTAATTGTAATAGTATTTATGGCCAGACTAAGTATATGCGTGACGGAATGTTATATAGAACCAATATTGAGGAATACAGCAGTTCCAAGATCTAAAGATCGGTAAAAGTGATGTGATGGTAGAACTCGGAGTAGTATAAGATCTTCAGGGTACCCATGAAACGCACTACAGTTCGAAGTGGTTGTGAAGGTAAGATTATCTCCAATTCGAATCATGACTGGTGTTTATATACTCAACCCGATACCCCCTTCGCTTTGCTTTACATAAAATTTTAATCAGACGTGAAGTAGCATTTAATATGTAAGCCCCTGAGCTTCCTATGCAAAATTAAACAATTACATTTTATCTTAAACTTTATTAAAAATTTATAATCATATTTATTATACATAATATATAAATTTAATAATAGGACTGATTACACAACTCGTTTAATCTTAGTGTATTAGCATTAGCTTTCTTCACTACACGATCATGTTAATTTAAGGCATTTTCATATGTCACTCTCAGTCATTTAATTTAGAAAGAAACAGATTTGTTTCATCTATGTGAAACGAAAATCTTGTACAATTTATCAAGTGATCATTCATTAATCTAATTTTAAAAAGTAGAGCATGACACACCTAATACCTTCGGTAATAGGTAGTCAAATTGATATTTTTTTCAAAGAAATGAATTGTGTGTCATTGCCATACAAAAATGAAAATGGGTACCAAATAATATGTACCTAGTATTTTAATGATAACACTTGAAAAACAATTAAGTGCTCCATGAATATTAAACATCATAATATGTCGCTACAAAAAATCTCCACTTTAATTACTTTCAACATTAACCTTAAAATAGAATGCGGATAGCGATAAACAGAATATGGCCTCTGATAAAAAATACACGTTCAATTGTAACTGCGTAATTAACATATATTTTTTACAATCAACATATGTAATCATAAAAATTAAAAACATTTTATATTCAACATAGCAATATCTCAAATCATAATTTGTTGGAAATAATTAGGTAATTCAACATTTATGTAATGGTTAAGTTCAAATAAAAAAATCTCCATTTAAAAACTATATCATTTCAAAGTAGTGTCTCTATTACTTGTATGAATTATTCTCGTTTTTTGCCAGATTGCGATTTACACAAAAACTTCTTCAAATCCATGCTTTTTTAACTTAGGTCACGTGTATATCAGGAGCCATTCCAAAAAATTAGCACATGACGCTTAGTTCCCTGTAAATTCACAATCTAAATAGTGTTTTTGGGCACATCCATGAATTTTATTTCTTTGAGAAATAAATGGTTGTACATATACCAAACGCAGTTCAACTTAGAATAATTTAAATTCTGTAAAGACATTAACGGTGTTTATTTATCATTTTAGAGTTTATTTATCATAATTAACAAATTTAATAGAGTATACAATATTAACACACATATAGTATAAACTTAAAAATACTATATAACTAAATAACTATGAAAAATAATCAAGAAAAATTCCTCACCTAATTACAGTGAAAATGAATTTAATTATTATTTTTTATTCAAATATTTTCTCATTCATTTACAAGGTAAGCGCGAGAAATATTTTTAAATAGATGCACAAAAATTCCAGTTGCATAAATGAGCCTTGAAAAACGAACTTGTCATCTGCCTTAGTTTTTTGTAACAGTTGAAAAAATAATGTCGTCAATTTCATGGAATGTTCAGTAGCATTAATTGAATTTTCTTATTGCATGTTACGTCAAAGTCCATTAGGAAGTCAGGATCAATTGATGGATGTGGAAATATTGTACTTTATTGGGAAAAGTATGACATGTAATCCTAATGATATCTTCATATTCAAAATATCCATAAAAACCAAGTTAAAATGACTCTGATATATTTATAAATCAGGGTATATCAATTTTCATCAATACATGTTTTATATTGTTTACAATTACATTGTTTTTTATTTAAATTTAAACTGCTTACTTTTTGTTTTTCTTTTAGTACATTGTATTAACCAGTTTAAATAAAGATTTATAATGAGAACTCAACCAAACATCGCTCCACAGTTTGAACATCTTCTGTTTTTTAAGGCAAGGCAGCACAGTATTCCTAACGGAAAGAAAAGGATGGCACATAAAATACCGAGGCACGTGAAATCGTCTTCTAAAATGCCAACTCGACATGCGGGGCAAGCTCCGACTGTGATTATAGCTGGTGGTATTATAATGTTTGTGGCTCCGTAGCTTGGTACAAAGCCTGTTTGTGGAGGAGGAGCACCATATGGACTATACCCCGGAGGTGGTGGAGGAAAAGGTGCACCTGGCGGATTAGATGCCTGTGGGTATGTATGCGGTTGAAGCCCTAGAAATTAAAGAAAATCATTAAACAATACAACTATAGATAGCTTGATGACATTCACTAATTTATCAAAACACAAGGAACAGAAGGCCAGTTTAGAAATTCTTGATTTTAGAATAATAAAATAGAAAAACACAATTAGTTTTTTTTTATTGCCCTTGTAGGCATACGGCCCACCTGCTGGTGAGTGGTTACTGTCACCTATGGACTTCAGCAATGCCAGGTGCAGAGTGAAGCCGCTGCCTACCAATTTTATTGCGAGTTCACCATAATAGCAATCTTATCAATACAATCCGCCTATTTCTGGTGATCTATTTATGGGGTGGGATAAATGTCATTCCAAAAAATTGTTGTCTAAGGTTCTTCGAAATTAGTAACATTAATAGAAGACTTTTTCTGAATTTAATAAAAGCAAAAGAATATTATATATTACATTATATTACTGTAATATCATGTTGCCTAACCACCAGTATTTTCTAGGGGCTATTCTGGCTTCAAACTAATTGGTGGGCGAGCTCATTGGGGTCAGCCTGAGAGAATTGCTAATATAGTATAGTGTTAGCCTACATGGCACTTCTTTTATGGTAGCTATAGGGCCATTCCAGCTACTCTAGCGAGGTAAGTGAGCTCACGGGCTCGATCTGAAAAAACTTTTATTTTTATTTTTATTGCTTAGATGGATGGACGAGCTCACAGCCCACCTGATTTTAAGTGGTTACTGGAGCCCATAGACATCTACAACGTAAATGCGCCACCCACCTCGAGATATAAGTTCTAAGGTCTCAGTATAGTTACGACGGCTACCCCACCCTTCGAACCGAAACGCATTACTGCTTCACGGCGGAAATAGGCGGGGTGGTGGTACCTACCCGTGCGGACTCCCAAGAGGTCCTACCACCAGTGATTNACCTCGAGATATAAGTTCTAAGGTCTCAGTATAGTTACGACGGCTACCCCACCCTTCGAACCGAAACGCATTACTGCTTCACGGCGGAAATAGGCGGGGTGGTGGTACCTACCCGTGCGGACTCCCAAGAGGTCCTACCACCAGTGATTACGCAAATTATAATTTTGCGGGTTTGATTTTTATTACACGATGTTATTCCTTCACCGTGAAAGTCAATCGTGAATATTTGTTGAGTACGTATTTCATTAGAAAAATTGGTACCCGCCTGCGGGATTCCAACACCGGTGCATCGCTTCATACGAATGCACGACGTCTTATCCTTTAGGCCACGACGTCTTATCCTTTAGGCCACGACGACTTGCTAACAATAGCTCTAGTAAAAACAGTACTCTGCAGAATCTATTACCGGATCGGAATTCTCAGATGTTGAGCCCATGAGTTTCATCTGTACCTAGCTGGAATAGTCCCGTAGGCCACCAGCAAATAGGTAGAAGATAGAGAAGCACATCGAACTCTTTGAATTTGACTGACAGAATATAAGTTCAACAAGATTAGTGACTGGTGGAAAATCTAAAAGCACCAACAGTGGAAGTTTTGAAGCGAAAATGTAAAGAGTGGATGTAAAGAGGGATAATCTACAAAATAAGGTGTATCAATGTTTCAAAGAAAAGGATATATTTTGCAAAATGTCAAATCAGTGACAATAATAACAAAATATCAATAAAGTAGCTATTATATTATTATAATAGGATTAAGACTTGGATCTTAATATTGGTGATCTCATTCTGATATCACATCACATTTAAGTCATCATTGCCTAAAGGGTAGTACACTCATGTTCTCTTATTTCAAGCAAAGCTAGTTTATATTATAAGTCATTAAATAACATCAAGGTTTCTTGCGGGCTGTCCATTTAAATTGGTAAATTTGTGATAGAAAATTAACATAATGGACACTGAATACTTCTTATTTACTATGTTAATGAATTTGTTTTTCAGCTCTCAAGACATATGATTGGTTTTAGTTCTAGCTCATTACAAGGGTCATTATTTATAGTCATAGCAAATATTTAAAGCCTATCTCATAAATTTAATTATTAGTACATTGAATTTCCTAATATCACAATTTGACAACTATTTGAGTGTGTGCATTATATTATGTTATGGCCACTTTTTAATTATGAATCAGATGAAAATGAACAACATTAAAGAATTTCATTATTAAAATGTGCTGCTTCCATTATCAATCTCGAAAGTTCTAATAACTCAAGGTTCAAGCCTTGTTATTCTGAATATTTTAATGAAAAATTGCTAAAACAATAATTTCATTAAAGATAAAGTTCAATGAACGAGCACAAAAGAAACACATGACTTTTAAGGGTAACATTTTAAATGGAAGTCACTAGAATCAAATGGAAGTGGCAAAAAACCCACTTGATGAAAAAAGTACTCATTTCTCAGGGCAAATCTTATCTTCACTATTCATTCATTGTTGAATATGATTTATTACTGCTTGAAAATTAAATCTATAACAAAAATACCTGGAGGGACTGCCGCAGAATACGGCGGGGGTTGCTCGGTCACAGTTGGTTTCTCCATTAAACTGAATAATTAGTAGTCAAAATAAATGATGGCGATACGTTATCTAAAGAAATTTGTTATAGTGGTTAGTGCGAAAAGTTTTTCAAACACAGTTTATGATTAAAGTGGTAGCAGTACAAAACTGACAGTCACAAAACCTAAGTGTCAAGTGTCAGTCAAAACACATGACACAGTAGGTAGGTACTAAGTACGCTACCTAATAAATACTATATTATTATTATAAATACTAAATACTAATAAATACTATTGGTAATTGAATTACACAACTATACAAAAATAAAATCGTTCTTTGTCCTAACGTTTATACTAGGTTTCTCTGGTTAATTATTCACAAAAACGAAAATAAAATATCTTTTTTTGGTATGAAGTTTGCTTTTGTGATAGTTATAGTAATAATACTCATTTTTCATTTTTTTTATAAATTTTAATTAATTTTAATACTTTCAAAAAAACCGCGCTATGAAAGTGGGGTGTTTACGTTTACACAGTTCCACTAGATGGCACTCGAGTCATAAACAACGATCAGGTGTTTTGTAGAAACCCAGAAAAATTTAAAATGTCACGAAAGTGTAAATACGATGCTGATGCATTTTGTTTCATATGTAGTCAATTTATTAAAGTTCAAAAGCAAACTGTTTCATGCCATGTATTTTTTTTCGTCTAATTACGATCTAAAATGTTGAAATTTTATGCTTTGCAATCAAAGTCAAATTTGGTGTTGACCCGTGTTATCCAAGAAAAAGATTTCCAAACCAAATATTACGTTTAAATATGTTTCAAACCTTATCAATGATTTTTCGATTGAACGATAAATATCTGGTTTTTTTTTTTCATAAATGTGCAAACGACCTTGCAGTTTAAGTAAGGTTCCGGGGCATCACAAAGGGAATGCCGCACATAAAATTAGTCTCCTGTTGTAGACCTGTAATTTATCTTTTAGGTAAGATTATGTAAGTAGGTACCTACTTATGAAATAAATAAAAAATAAAATGCAAAAAGTACAAAAAATATGTAGGTATATACATTATTTGTTAGATATTATATTGTAGAACATGTCACTAAAATCGGTGTAGTTCCACATCTGCGGTATTCTTTCTTAATGACGTTTTAAATTTTTTGTAAATTAATTTACCCGAAACAGAAAATAATAGAAAATGTAAATTATATTCTCTGAGATCGATTATCTATAATAAACCATTAGTTATTATCGATAAAATATTCAATCTTGTTGAACAAAAAATGATTACTCAAAATTTGGAATTCTCCTCATTCTTCTTCTTCTTTATTTTTCGGTTCTGGTACGGTTTGTGCATTAGCCAACGTCAAGTAATTCTCCTCATTAAGTCTCGGTCTGAATTGACAGTTCGCTTACTTCACTCCGGGTAGGAAAATTTTCCAAGGACGTTTGAGTGGAGTTTATTGTTACGACTAAGCAAGACATACCAAAACGCGCGTTGGAGGTTGAGTCGAGTCGAGTTAAGCTCGTGTGAACGACTAAAGATACGGGGGTCAGTCTGTAGTTCGGTCGTACGAAAACCAAATTATAGATAATACACTATATAAACTAAGAATACAATTCCTTTAATCAATGCTACATTTATAGCAATAATGGTAGTATGCAGATGCAAGATAGCGTGGAGAGATCGTAGAACTCATCTGGATTTTTACGCTTTGATTCACAAGATCTTTTTTTTTTATTGCCTAGATGTGTGGACGAGCTCACAGCCCACTTGGTGTTAAGTGGTTACTGGAACCCATAGACATCTACAACGTTAATGCGCCACACACCTTGAGATATAAGTTCTAAGGTCTCAGTAAAGTTACAACGGCTGCCCCACCCTTCAAACCGAAACGCATTACTGCTTCACGGCAGAAATAGGCGGGGCGGTGGTACCTACCCGTGCGGACTCACAAGAGGTCCTACCACCAGTAATCAGTAAAGATCCAAATAGATCAAGCATTTCAACTCATTCGCGATTTCATAGCGTCAAAGTTTTAAGGTAACCAAAATGCGCCATTTCGATAAAGCGGCACGACACTCTCATTGTGGCCGCCGGAAACTTCATAGCCGATCCTGCGAACCAAATGGCAAACAGTCGACGTCGCCCAAAACACGTTATCTCGGATCCTCCCGATCCACTAACGGTGCTTTTAGATACCCCAAGCACCGGTCATCGTTCTCGTCGAACCCGTTGCTTGCGAGCTGCTGCATACTAGTTTAGAGTATATACTCTGTACGGATACAGTTTGTTATGTAAACAAAATTGTTCATAGTCTTATCATGCGGCTGCGCCCGCAAGACCCGTTGCTTTTTACTTTTTAAGTTGAGTCGCGAATAAACGCTATTAACCAGTTGTGTTATTTAATTATCTCACTTCCGACAACGCCCTGAACCATTATTGACCACTACTAAAATAACTCCTAAAACTCCTTTAAAGGTTTGGCGACATCGGAGGCGAGCTAATGCGGCCTCAACTAGGTTTGGACTGTATTATGTGATTTAGATAAAAAAAAGCAACCAACAGAACAGAAGCTTTTGGTAATTTCCATTAAAACCATTATAAGTGTGTATTTTTAATTAAAAAAATATTTGTTTTTGAGCCACAATGATGCAGACACAACTGAGCACCAATATATTCTTTATATAAAAATATAAAAATCAAATAGTATTCCCTAGTTCATAAAAAGATTTTTAACTATATTTAAATGAAATGTTAAATACCTATTAATTACTTTGTAAAAAGAGGGTGACAAAAATAAACACAATTATTGAACTTTAATTATATTCAATTTCTTTTCGAAATAACAATAACTACATAATAAATCCATCTAACTGCAACTATGTGTTCACTATAATATTTACAACTAGGTTCATATATCGATCACTTAATATAATTTATGTTTTGCGATTACATAGAAGAGAAACTTAATAGGTCAATTTACATTGGTGATCAGTAATTCCCCCCATAAAGCGGTAGATTGGTTCCGAGTTACGTATAAATGATTCATCATGTTTTAACTTTTAATGGATTTTTTACTTAATTTTTTTTTTATAAAAATAAAATTAAACCTACACTCGTTAATACACAAATTGAATAAAATAATGTAGTTTTGTAATAGCACAAATCGACACACGTGCAAAGGCACGCGAAGCTAATATGAACTTTACAAATCATTATAAATTTCACAGCACAGAAATATCCCCGTGTTATACGGGGGATTGATCGCGTAATATCAAAACGCGTTATAAGGTTACCGCGTTATAGAGGGATTACTGTATTTATTTTTGAAAATTCTAAATTGACAGAAATTCATGATGCCTTTATTAACATATTTCAAAATATACATTTTAAAATAAATCAAGATTTTATAATTCTTACAAATCTTCATCAAGTTTTATTTATATACAAAATCAAAACTGACGATATTATAATTAATTAGTTAAGGAAATAATTTTATCTGGAAATGATGTGAGCGTGAAAAGAATACTATCAATAAATTTCGAGCCTCACTTTTGTTCATAAATAACATTAAAGTCATTAGTCTAAAATTAACAATGTTACATAATAATAATATGATTTTTCAAGGACAAAAAAAGAAACATTTTTTTAATAACTTTTCAATGCGTGTAAGTCCTCTGACAAAATCCACCAGTGGCTGATCTACAATGATCCAGTGGCTGACTGAGTCATGTTGGATACAATCGCTTTGTCAGTGTTAGATTTTATACTGTGGTAGCCCCACCGAAAACAAATTCCGAACGAAATTAGACGTAGTTTTTGACAAGTAAACTTGCCGACAGAGTCTAATTGTACACAACACTGGCTGGCACACACAAAACTCTTAGGTATTAAAAAGAGAAGCTAATATGAACATAAAGTTTTTATTAGAACCACCATTATTCTGTTGTGTCACCAATTAACAAATTTGATGTTGCCGTCACTACTCACTGGACCAATGTAAATCTGACACAAAATACGATGCTCGAAGTGTCATGACAATTAAAAACGATATATTTATAAATACAAATTATTTTTCGTTTGGATTTAACGAATTGTTAACGTTTTCTTGACTATATTCAAATTATATAGTTTATGCATTTCATGAAGTCATTACCGAATCAATAATTAACATTGTCTAGATTATCATCGTAGTCACATTTTTCTGTCCCAATAATTTTCATTAGAACGAATAGCGTCGAACAAAACAACAACGTAAACCTAACCTTCCCTATAAAATAAATATGTATCGACAATTCAATTATTAGTAATACATAATTAGTTTATAAACAGTAACTATTTAATTAATTTAACACCGTCAAATAGAAAGTTAAAGGAGACTCCAGTATCAAGGTGAGTGAGCTTCAAGTAACATTGTTAAACAATTATAACAAGCACCTATTGTGGCATCTCGTAATGTAAAATTATTATTGTTGACGTCCCTATAACATAGGCCGGAGACGATTTTACTTCCTTAAAAATAGTCAAGGGGCCTAACAAACAAATATGTCATTTTATCGATTAAAAATTTCACAGCACATTTATCGAAAAACAAAATCCACGTATCCGACGCCACGCCGTATGATCCTTATATGCTTAGTCCGAATTTTTTTACTTCTCGATAGCGTAAAAGCTAACTCAAATTTGTATGGAGTTGGACGAGCGCCCCTAGCGGCAAACGAAGAGAAACTGTTCCAACTCCATACAAATTAGAGTTAACTTTTACGCGATCGAGAAGTTAAAGAACTCGCACTAAGTATATTCGTATAGTAAACGAAAATATTATTATCGAACAACTTCTAATCACTCAAGGGATAGGTAAATTGATTAAAAATACAATTAATTTTCCAACGAACGCTTTGGTGTTCAACCAATTTGTTTAATATGTTTATTTAATAACGTATGAGAGAGCACAATTTCAAGTAGAGTCATCAATTTTCGATTTTAAGCATTAAACAAAATGTAATTATTTTTACTAAAGTATTTAAATTGACAATCGCTCGAGGTCAATGACCTGGTATAACGCGCAGTGGAATTTGCCAACTTTGCTTTAGATTGCCGCTTCTTGTGTCGTGAAATCAAGCTATACCTATTTGATAAGATAATCCATTTTAATATGGTTTCTTGATTTTTAGAATGGAAGTTTGCTTGTAAGGAAACCTGAAGGCGGAATGTGAATGGATGAATTAAAATCTCAACATTTGTATGGATTTTTATAAGAATTTTAAAACATTTTTTTGTTACATGTTACAGTTTATTTCAACAACAATAATAATGTAATGTTTAGTGAAATTTTCATCACAGGAATTGACAAATAATATGAAATATATATAACCTAGTATATATTAAGCAGATTGAGTCACATAAAGCAATGACTTTAGTATGGGTATGAAAAGACCAAATATTATTAATTGTTTTACAAAAAAACATTTTTTTTTGCCGACCGTACCACTATAATAAATAATTTTAATGCCTCCATCGCAATTAGTAGACGGCCTTATAAGATCCTGTCTTGTTCCACAGCAAATACTCTTATATTGGATCCAGTTTTTGCACCACATTTTTTTTATGTAATAAACAATAATTTATTATTCATAAATAACTAAGAAGAATACCGAAGACTATCCCTTGAGAGGTTTAGTAGGATTATTCAAGAAGCAGGGTAGTTAGTAACGAACGGATATCCAACAACCGGAGTGCTCGTCGCGGCGGTAGAAGTGCGGCCGGTTATCCGGGAACACGGTCACCGCCGGAAACGGATGCTGCTGGATGAACTTCAGCGTCATCCGGATCTGAAATTAATACAAGCGCCGCTTCTTATTAGAATCTCTTCTGATGTAACAAATACAGAGATCTAGTATTTCAAGGTGACGTTATAAGGTTAAAAGTGAGATCTTAGAACTCATGTCTCAAGATGGGTAGCGGCATTTATGTTGTAGATGTCTATGGGCTCCGGTAACCACATAGCACTCGTGGGCCGTGAGCTCGTCAAAGAATCAAAGAAAAAATAAATAAAAAAAAGCCTTCTCGTTATGTCATCTATCTCTCTCTTCTCTCTTTCTATATTGTCTGTCAGAGTGTGGACTGTATCTTGGTTCTAGCTTAAATAAAAACTAGATTTAGAGCGAAGGATTTTTATTTTTTAATGTACAACACGTGCACGTACGACCAGTATTTTATTGTAACTGCCACTAACTGTGTTGCCATACTTATTAGTGTGTTTCCACATTTAAAAACAATCATATAACGTCTTATGCTTAAGATTACCCTAAACATCGTCTATTACTTATTTGCACAACGAAACGAATAAGAGATTTCTTTTCTTTTTTATCAGTAACACTGCCAACAATTTGTGGCATAAGACCAAAGAGGCTATACATTTTTTAAGTCAGAATATATTATTGCTTCGAGATAAAACGGGATAATGGGTACCTGCCTACCTAAGTATCTCACAAGACGCTCCGTCACTGCAGTAACCAGGCACCAATATCCTACTGTTTATTCGTATTAATCCGTGTTGCAAAGCGAAATTTACTTACAGGCCTGAGGCCCTAGAGTCGCTTCTTCGTTTCATCGACTTATAAATCGAAACGAAGCTAAAGAGGCTTCCACATGAAATAGATTTTTTTTTATTGCTTACATGGGTGGATGAGCTCACAGCCCATCTGGTGTTAAGTGGTTACTGGAGCCCATAGATATCTACAACGTAAATGCGCCACCCACCTTGAGATATAAGTTCTAAGGTCTCAAGTATAGTTACAACGGCTGCCCCACCCTTCAAACCGAAACGCATTACAAAAGGTCCTACAACCAGTAATTACACAAATTATAATATTGTGGGTTTGATTTTTATTACACGATGTTATTTCTTCATCGTAGAAGTCAATCGTGAACATTTGTTGAATACGTACTTCATTAGAAAAATTGGTACCCGCCTGCGGGATTCGAACACCGGTGCATCGCTCAACACGAATGCACCGGACGTCTTTTCCTTTGGGCCACGACGATTCAATGACGTAAGACTTAAACAAGTTTAAAAAGCTATAAATACGTACATTATGAACGAAATGCGGCGGCTCGACGGCCGGCGTCGTGCTTAGGTGCTGCAGAATGAACTCATCAGACTGTTCGAGCCAGAGGTCGACTCCTCGCAGGGGGTCGTAGTTGAACGGGCCGACGCGCAGCATACCCACAGCGTTATCGTATATGTCTAAGACCTGATATTCAAAACAGGTTAACTTCAATCTAAAAAATTCCCAATGAGGTTTCCGTGTTCGGAAATTTACGTTTGGTTGATTTAAAAGACAGAAACAAAAATGTATATCTACGATACTGAAGCCTCAATGTACAGCTCACAAATAAAAGTCTAGAATGCCATCTATCGCCTAATGTAGTTATATGGTAGCTACTTTGTGAAACTAATAGATGGCGTTTTGTTTTTCTTCAATTTATATTTGAATAAAATAAAATTTAGAGTTTATTGACTCAATCGGCAATTTTATATTAATAGTTTTCTACTAAATTATTAGTAGACGATGCGACTATAATAACAAGAAATACTAGTAACATTGTGTATGAATTTATTATTCATATTTTTGTAATATTCTTACTTGTATTATTTGTTGGTTATTGAAATTACGAGAAAATTAACACTAAATCTCGTCAATTGATAGTTACTTATAGAAAAAGGCTTACAAAACAAAGCAGAAAACTGTATTTTCTTTACCTATTTATATGTAGATAAAATGAACTTTGACAAACATCCGTCGTAGAAATTATAACGACAAGAAATTTTTCCATGGTATCGTCGTACCTAGTCAGGGGGGAGCCTATGATTGCCCTGCGTTGTTACACTCACACGCATTTTTTGTTCCTCAAATTTTATGGTTAGTTAAAGAGAAATTTTATTCGTTTATATCACAGTATTCACTGATCATTAATTAGAAATATTTCCTTCAATTTGGATTATTTGCGAACGTAGTAACGCCAATTCAATCAAATCGTCTTTTATTTTCATTTCAAATCATGTAAATTATTTTTGATATGTTTGGAAACGAATAAGTTTTCTAAACTATTCTTTTGAGTGATGAAACTACAATTCGTATCGGCGTTAAAACCGTGATGATTTGAAAGCGCCTCCATGCTTAGTGCGAGTTTTTTAACTTCTCGATCGCGTAAAATTTAACTCAAATTTGTATGGAGTTGGAACAGCGCCCCTAGCGGCAAGCGAAGGGAAGCTGTTCCAACTCCATACAAATTTGAGTTAATTTAAAAAAATCCGAACTGAGCACACTATTGAGTCCCGCTTATATTAGAATGATTCCCACCTGTGCCGAATGCGGACCGCTCGTTATAGTTCTCGCCCCTCGCAACGGAAGTTCGGGACCTTTATCCGGAAACGTTGCCGGGAAGAGATCCCCGGCGCGGATGTCGACGCCGACCCCGGTCACGAGAGGCGCCAGACCCCCGGGCAGCGTGTTCAGCTCGCAGCAACACGCCAATGTCAGGTCTATCTCTACCGTTAGACGATGGAATGATACTGAAATTTTTAACGAGAGAAAAAGAGAGAACTAATTAAAAATCGTCAACAGTCCAAGAATTTATTCTTAATCATGTACCAGAGACGCATTACGGTAGACAAGTTTTTTTTTAAGGGATTTTATGACCTGGTAACTAAGACCTTTAAGTCATGTCTTATTTTAATTTGTATTCTTATTTTTATGAAAAATGATAATATGGAGTAAAATCAAATGAAATGAAGATGATCAATTTGAGACATTAATCAACTGGGATGAAATTAAATGAAATGAGATGATATGATATGGGATGAAATATAATCTTAGTAAAATGGTGTTCATTTATTGAGATTTTTTCAGTGGACTTTTTGGAGGATCCCGAGAAGTTACGACCAGTTGCTTTGTTTCATTTTCCCACATTTGTGCACTTTCACAGATATTAAACAGTTAATAAACCACCGTTATTACACATTCAAACCTGAAGAAACACTAAATAGACAAAATAAAACAAATCACACAACTTCACTCCTCACGTTCCCGCCAAGAAGTACAGCAGACAAAGACAAGTACGGTCCATAGACACTACGTGATTGCGACTAGTTGTTTTGAGACATCAACTCTTAATTCTCGATATTACAAATGTCCTACCCTTCAAAAGTATATTTTTATAGCACTGGCGGCGGTTCACCAGGTTGGTTACCGTAGCCTGTAGACGTCAAGTCTAAAAGGTCTAAATTTTAACTTTATAGTATAAAAGTTATCCCATTTTGCAACCCGGACCGCATGAGTGCTTCACGATAGAAATACTTTGGGTCACGCTGGTGCTTATCCCGTATGCTCAAAATCGCCCCACCACTAGTAAAAATCAGATAGGTAGCATGTCCTTTTTTTGTGTCGAAATTTATAGATTAGTGGTTATAAACTTGTAAGAAATATAGCTTTTTTTAGCTTAAAAATGAAGCAGAAATCGCTTCCATATTAAGCCAATTCTAAATTCCATTGTCTTTGATTATTAGTTTTATTATTATTATCTACATGCGACCCGAGATTGCTCTCAGTAAATAGTTTTACATATACCGTGTATTTTCTATTATTTATATATTTAACTTCATATACATAAAGTACATTGGCGTACGTACCTAAAGGCTAACTAACAACCAACTAAGGGTGGTGTTTAGATTATATTTTAATATTCATTGTTAAATTATTATTTCACCATAGAGGATCGTTTTAAATAAATAAACTCCTTGATTTCATTTTAGTTAGCCTAAGGGCTTATTCTAGCTACACCCCAACGGGTAGGTGAGCTTGCGGATTCAACTTGAGAGAATCTGCCAACACTAGCCCAAGCAAGAGCGATGCTTCGCTGAATCCACCACCGGATCGAAATCGCGACCCACTGAGAAGATCCGGCGAGAAACTCAGTGAACTGAAATTTAATTAATGAACCTAAATTTAATTACGCCGGCGAACCGGGTGAGTCACCTCATCACACCGCGTCGTAATGCCCCGCAATAATTCAGCCGTAACAATGCATCGAACTGCGGCCGCGCCCACGCAACTAGACGCTAATAATCCTCTGGCACCGTGACAGAACCAGACTGACCTCTAAGCGTCAATTGTCATAATTTATTTCCGAGTTCGGTTCGCATGGGTGTACATAAATCTCAATATATGTACTATTTTACTGCAAACGGCAATGTAAAGCATTCGCACGTGTTACATTATAATAAGTTGTAATAATAAAATGATTTTTGTCATATCGTTTGTTCGTTGGTTTTTATTTTATTTATAGCTACAACGTAATTGTTTATGATGATTCGTTTATTTATAAAAAAAAACAAGCCAAATATTATCTGATGGTTACCAAGAAATAATTTTAATCTACCGATTTCGCCGGAAAAGTATGACACATCCATATCGCAAGTTTTAAATATGCTACAATAACAGGAGAATGATAGAAATCGAAATCCCTTGTGAAATTGGAATATAGTTTACCTACAAACATCACGGTGGTTTCTCGATGAGCGTAACCGATAAAATCGAATATTCGAAAACCTTTTTAAATGACTCCTATCATTCAACCCGAAAAATGCGGCGAAATTTACGTCACACCCTTCCGCAAGTTTTAAAAACAATTAAATATGCTCTAATAACAGAAGAATGATATAAATCAGAATTCCTTGTTAAATTTCAATGGAATTTACCTACAAACATCACAGTAATTTCGCGATGACCGTAACTAATAAAAACGAATATGCGAATACCGTTTTTAATGACTCCTATCATTCAACCCGAAAAATGCGGGAAAAATTACGTCACATCCCTATCGCAAGTTTTAAAAGCAATTAAATATGCTCTAATAACAGAAGAATGATAGAAATCGGAATTCCTTGTTAAATTTCAATGGAATTTACCTACAAACATCACAGTAATTTCGCGATGACCGTAACCAATAAAAACGAATATGCGAATACCGTTTTTAATGACTCCTATCATTCAACCCGAAAAATGCGGGAAAAATTACGTCACATCCCTATCGCAAGTTTTAAAAGCAATTAAATATGCTCTAATAACAGAAGAATGATAGAAATCGGAATTCCTTGTTAAATTTCAATGGAATTTACCTACAAACATCACAGTAATTTCGCGATGACCGTAACCAATAAAAACGAATATGCGAATACCGTTTTTGATGACTCCTATCATTCAACCCGAAAAATGCGGGGAAATTTACGTCACACCCTTTCGCAAGTTTTAAAAGCAATTAAATGTGCTATAATAACAGGAGAATGATAGAATTCGGAATTCCTAGTTAAATTTTAATGTAGTTTACCTACAAACATCACAGTGGTTTTTCGATAACCGTAACCAATAAAATCGAAAACGGGAATACCGTTTTTAATGATTCCTATCATTCAACCCGAAAAATGCGGAAGCCTCAAAAACAATTCCACACCAAAAAACATTATTGCGTTATACATATGTATGTGAAATTTTGTTTACATTATCACGATAGGTGAGCCACGAAAACCGCTATCAGATCCAGTGACGGAACCGCTATTTTTAGTTATTTTCGTCAATAGACACTCATTACTACGACGTCAAGTGAAATTTCAAGGCTAAAACTTAACGTAATTACCGATTGTACTGAGCTTAAACGTCGCCCGTTTTTTTATCTCTAAATATGAAAGTCACCGAAAAGCTTATTAAAATGACTTATACGTTTTAAGTTCGCTAAGAAATTGCTGTTTAGTATATAGAAAGATAGTCATATTTTTAATTTTAATTTTTGTCACTATCAATCAAAATAAGCACCCATGGTGTTGATGTATATTTTTTTTTTCATCCTTAGATGGGTGGACGAGCTCACAGCCCGCCTGGTGTTAAGTGGTTCTTGGAGCCCATAGACATCTACAACGTAAATGCGCCACCCAACTTGAGATATAAGTATGAAGGTCTAACGTCTGTCGGGTCCTATATAATAAATTACAATGGAATTAAAACACTCACACATAATATTAGCGAAAAGCTCGTCGGAGTATCTATGCGGATCCGTGAAGCCGCCGATCACTTGCAACTCCAGTCTACCCTCAGGATATCCGACTGCGAGCTGCTGGACTCTGGACACCATGGCCGCAGCCGCTTCAGCCGTACCCGNCATCGCCCGTTTTTTTATCTCTAAATATGAAAGTCACCGAAAAGCTTATTAAAATGACTTATACGTTTTAAGTTCGCTAAGAAATTGCTGTTTAGTATATAGAAAGATAGTCATATATTTAATTTTAATTTTTGTCACTATCAATCAAAATAAGCACCCATGGTGTTGATGTATATTTTTTTTTTCATCCTTAGATGGGTGGACGAGCTCACAGCCCGCCTGGTGTTAAGTGGTTCTTGGAGCCCATAGACATCTACAACGTAAATGCGCCACCCAACTTGAGATATAAGTATGAAGGTCTAACGTCTGTCGGGTCCTATATAATAAATTACAATGGAATTAAAACACTCACACATAATATTAGCGAAAAGCTCGTCGGAGTATCTATGCGGATCCGTGAAGCCGCCGATCACTTGCAACTCCAGTCTACCCTCAGGATATCCGACTGCGAGCTGCTGGACTCTGGACACCATGGCCGCAGCCGCTTCAGCCGTACCCGAACCGTCCAAGTGCGCCAGCGCTATGGCCCCTGATCCTGGGACCGTAAGGATTAACACATTACCGCATTATTACTGATTATACGACGTGTGGCACACGGTTAGATTCTACATCCAGGCTGTTTCTGCCTCAAATCAGTCCTTCGTTTCGATATGAAGGGTGGGCCAACCGTTTAGCATTTAAAAACTAGCATCACAAAAAAGCGTATATGAAATGCATTAATTAATATGCACACGCTCAATGAACGTAGAAGACACTCCTTCCATCGTTTTCTGCAAAATCTTCTATATTTCTAAATAAACCAATCACCCACCCGATTATGGATAAACAATCAATTACCTGAATGCCTGACGACTACTATAATACACGATGTCGCGTCATCTGAACCGATTATATTCACGTTTTCTGTAATGAAGAAGAACATACATTTTTAGAAAGCCAATTTTATACGAAACTTACCTATACACGGCATACAAGGTTTTTTTATGATTGAAGGATTACTGGTGGCCTAGAGGCTTTTCCAGTTTCACCAGGACAGGTGGGCGAGCAAAGGCTCAGCCAGGGGGATGGGATTTGGTAACAGCTGCCCGAGCGTCTCCGAGGGAGATCTAACAACTCAAGAGCAACTGCTTCGCGAACGAGTCTACTATCGTACAGGAATCGCGACCCGCTGAGTAGATCCGGCGAGAAACTCAGCGAATTCATGCATGGGTTAGGTTGCACGTCGACCTCTTTGTCGAGTTCGACGAGTACGGTTACAGGGGTTTCTAAGTCTGCTCCTAGTGTTAAGCTGAAGGCGTCTAATGCAAAGGTTATTGGATCTGATGGATCCGTCAGGACATGTCTAGGGCGTCGACTGTGACTGGCTCCTGCGTGATCAGGATCGGCATACAAGGTACTCTATCTATATATATATATAAATGAATTGCTGTTCGTTAGTCTCGCTAAAACTCGAGAACGGGTGAATCGATTTGGCTAATTTTGGTCTTGAATTATTTGTGGAAGTCCAGAGAAGGTTTAAAAGGTAGTTAAATATGAAAATATTCGGAATTAAATAAAAATAACATTTTTGTTTTCTCTTTGATGTGTCCCTCGTCGGACGGATTCCTTTTGTTTGTTTTAAGTTTATTTTATACAAAAGTTTAGGTCTTTTATTTATCGATTGAGGCACTACAAAGTCTGCCGGGTCAGCTATCATAAGTAAGTACTGTATAAACTACTTATTGTACATTAGTGTGCAGTTGTCTAGTCTTCCTGATGAGGACTCGGTCTCGTCCTCTTAGAAAAGTCTATGCATCTGATTAACAGCTCCGAAAACCAACTCCTGTAAATTCATCTAACCTCAGTCTCTGATGATGGACTCCTTATTAATTCTCACAACTGTATTTCAATAAATAGATTACTCACTGTCATGCGGCACAACGGCGGCCATTTCTCTCTGTCCGACGTAAAGAACGCCCGCGGGTCCCACAACGCGCGCCGTCTCGGTCAACAGTTGCGCGGCGCCTTCTCTGTACCCCGGATGCGCCTCTAGCAAAGCCCGCACCGACGTCGGGCAATCGTCAGCGAGTACGCCGTTCAGCACCACCACCATGATGCCGCTGGAATGTTTGTAAGCGATTAGGATCTTCTTTTTTTATTGCTTAGATGGTTGGACGAGCTCACAGCCCACCTGATGTTAAGTGGTTACTGAAGCCTATAAACTTCTACAACGTAAATGCGCCACCCGCCTTGAGATATAAGTTCTAAGGTCTCAGGTATAGTTACAACGGCTGCATCACCCTTCAAGCCGAAAGGCATTACTGCTTCATGGCAGAAATAGGCGGGGTGGTGATACCTACCCGTGCGGACTCACCTGCTACCAGTAATTACGCAAATCATAATTTAGTTAAGTCTATGAGCCACGGAAGNAACTTCTACAACGTAAATGCGCCACCCGCCTTGAGATATAAGTTCTAAGGTCTCAGGTATAGTTACAACGGCTGCATCACCCTTCAAGCCGAAAGGCATTACTGCTTCATGGCAGAAATAGGCGGGGTGGTGATACCTACCCGTGCGGACTCACCTGCTACCAGTAATTACGCAAATCATAATTTAGTTAAGTCTATGAGCCACGGAAGTCTACGAAAGTACTACATACTGTGAATTGCGTTATTATTTATATAAAATCATATTACTATGTGGTATACTTATCCTAAAATCCTAGATTAAATATTTTAATGGTAGAAATATACTTAAGTCGTTGAAACAGCGATAATTCTAGGTGCTTAGTCTGTGAATAGTAATTATGTGCATCTCTCTATTTCTTTGGAATAAAATTTTCCACGAATAATACAATAAGTTTTTGTATTCGTAAAACTAGTATTAACGGCCGTCTGGTGTAGTGGTAAGTGACATGATCACTCACTACACAAGGAGGTCGCGGGTTCGAATCCCGCCAAGGGAAGATATTTGTATGATAAATATAAATGTATTTTCCAGGGTTATGGATGTATATTATATATATGTATGTGTATAATAAAAATCTTACATTTATTTCCGTTATCTGGTACCTGTAACACAAGTTCTTTACGACCTTATGACGGGACCAGTTAACGTGGCGTGATTGTTAGTAAATATTTATTTATTATTTATTTATTAGTATATACTCGCATGTATGCTGTATCACTAATTTATGCATCGAACACTTCATTGAACACACAAAAATCTTTTTTGACGCATTTGATGAAAACTGCGTGGTTTTACGATAGCTTCGTTGCATAAATGGGTAGAGTACCTGCGAATCGATTGCCATTTAAAAATATGTTTGGTATTCGGGTTCTGTCTGTCCTTGACTCACAAGTTTCCGATGCACAAGAGGCCCTTAAATGAAATAACGCTTTTCTGACAGCTTCAATTGTTACACGAACTAACATTTAAGCAGTTTCAGCTCCCCACAGACACAGTCCACTGAGTTTCTCGCCGGATTTTCTCTATGGGTCGCGATTCCGATCCGGTGGTAGATTCAGCGAAGCACTGCTCTTCTTGCTAGGGCAACAAATTATCTCAGGTTTAGCCAATGAGTTGACCTACACTCAGCTCCCCAAAGACACAGTCGACTGAGTTTCTCGTCGGATTTTCTCTATGAGTCGCGATTCCGATCCGTTGGTAGATTCAGCGAAGCACTGCGCTTGCTAGGGCAACAAATTATCTCAGGTAGAGCCAATGAGTTGACTTACACTCAGCTCCCCATAGACACAGTCCACTGAGTTACTTGTCGGATTTTCTCAGTGAGTCGCGATTCCGATCCGGTGGTAGATTCAGCGAAACCATGCTCTTGCTAGGGCAACAAATTATATCAGGTTAAGCCCCTGAGTTGATCTACCCATCTGGGCGCAGCTGGTATAACCCCTATCGCTACCAGTGGGAAAAAAACTTCATCTCAATACAGCAGAAAAATAGTTAACGCAGCTCCGAATATATTTATAGTTATTCAACGCGACAGCTATAGGTAAAACGCTAGGCAAAAACGAGCGAGTGTTGCATTTGTATTTATGTATGTATGCCTCGGTAATGTATTCAGAAAGGCGCGGGGTCATCCGGGACAGACCCTGGCACCCGCGCAACGCGAGTTCGTCTTCATTTACATGGAACGTACGATGTAAACGCTGATTTCATACGATATTACAACAACATATTTGATATACATAATTCGACGCTTGAAAGGCAAACATGACTAAACGACAATGCGTGAACTTTACAGTAGACTAATTTAAAGTTGAAATACCTGTAAACAAAATTTATTTTAACGAATCTAACTGTAGTAGAATCTAGCTAATAGCTGTAGGATTGAAATGATTTTAATAGACCTAGAAATATATATTTTTTGCGCATTGAATATGGTTATTGCCTATCATTTATGTACAAAGCAGTTATTGTCGCTTAGTTACTTTTGCCTTTCAAGTGTCTATATATATTGTATACGACTTAAAAGGATACAAATATTATTTTATTTATGTAGTATGCCGTTATTTACTATTACGATTTTAGTATACGACTAGCTGACCGGGCAGACTTCGTAGTGCCTCAATCGATAAATAAAAGACGTAAACTTTTGTATAAAATAAACTTAAAACAAACAAAAGGAATCCGTCCGACAAAATTAGCCAAATCGGTCCATCCGTTCTCGAGTTTTAGCGAGACTACAATTTGACTACAAGCGAACAGCAATTCATTTTTATATACATATATATAGAAGATAGAAGATTAGAGTTATCTTTGTAACGTGCTGTAGACTAGTTACATCCGTAGTACTGACCGAATTGTCGGTGTAAAGGTAGACACGGATACTCTGTGTGCATTGTGCGAGCTTTTTAACGATCTCGATAGCGTAAGAGTTAACTCAATTTTGTATGCAATTGGAACAGCGCGTACAATACGTATAGAGAAAAAATGTCTTCTTCAAACAAATCTTCATGATCAGCGTAACAAATATGAGAAATGTATATGTTACGTAGATAATCTATCACTTATTCCTTACTAACAAATGTCTTTTAGTTGCAGCAGTAGTAAACGCGCTTGATCGCCTGACGACTCTAGTGGTAGGTTCAATTTCTACATCGGGTAAAAATTCGTTTAATGAAAACATATTTTGTTCGCTCTACGTCTGAACGTTTAATATTTATTTATGAAAATAAGTATTTATTTACGTATCTGGTTCATACAATACAGGGAATCATAGTATGCGATTTATTTTTTATTTATTTATTTTTTCCTACCTAAGCTGATAGCCTTGAGAGGCTAAATTAGCGTCGCCTTAACTAGTAGGTGAGCTCACGGGGCTCAAACCTGATGACGTTGCCAACACGAACCCTAGCAAGAGCCGTGCTTTCCAGAATCTACCACCGGATCGGAAACGCGACCCACTGAGAAGATCCGGCGAGAAACTCAGTGGGCTGTGTCTGAGGGTAGTATGGGACTAAAAGAAGGAGCCGATTTATTTACTTAATTACATAAAGTCTTTAAACTTGCCACGAAATTCATTACGCTGTCAGTGGTGCGAACTACACTAGGTTGCTCGTGTCTCGGACAGAAAAAGCGAACGTTTAAATTTGCACTACTTAAAATTATATTTATAATTGTAGTCGATGGGTAAACTCATGTTAAGAGACCTCATTCGCGGAGCAGCTTTTTTTTTAAGTGGTTTCAGCCCATAGACATCTACAACGTAAATTCGCCAACCCACTTTGAGATATAAGTTCTAAAGTCTCAAGTATAGTTACAACAGCTGCCCCACCCTTCAAACCGAAACGCATTACTGGTCCACGGCAGAAATAGGCGGGTGGTGGTACCTACCCGTCCGGACTCACAACAGGTCCTACCACCAGTAATTCCATGAAGTATATGGCCGTTAAAGATTCATTTCGAATTTAGAAAATTTAAAAAGTTTATCTGCGTGCTACTACTAATGAAAATCGCTGGTTTAGGTTGGATTCAGGTGGCAACGGACCTACCGCATTGGACATTAATTGGAGACTCCTATCTTCAGTAGTGGACAGTGAATAGGTTGAGAAAAAAAAAAGGGGTCATAATTATTGAGCAGTGCACGTGGTTTTTAACAAAGCAACTAATATTTAACACTAATCATGCCAACACTTACTGGTACCTATTTCTACCATAGCGAGTAGATAATGGTATGCGACAAATATTACTCAAAAAAAACAAAAAAAACAGTATAATAACTGTAGATTATTTGGTATGAAAAATTCATGAACTCAAATGTGCAAAAGCAATATGATGATACGGGTATTTTCAATGCAAAAGTTCAAAATGGGTCATTTGACCGTTATGGTAGTGTTAAATAACCTACAACGTAAATATACATTAACGAATATATTCTTATGAATTAAGAAATAAAATTTAAGACGACGCNAAAAAAAACAGTATAATAACTGTAGATTATTTGGTATGAAAAATTCATGAACTCAAATGTGCAAAAGCAATATGATGATACGGGTATTTTCAATGCAAAAGTTCAAAATGGGTCATTTGACCGTTATGGTAGTGTTAAATAACCTACAACGTAAATATACATTAACGAATATATTCTTATGAATTAAGAAATAAAATTTAAGACGACGCGAAAGATACAAAATAATGCTAAAAAAAATTTATCTGTGTATCGAAAATATGATAACGAAATTTTATTACTCGAGATACGATAAAAAGATCTGACCAGAACAGTGAGACAAACTAATTATGTTATTATAACTCAAAAAAATACTTATCTTGTCGAGATTTAGGTTATTTTCGTCTGGCAAAAAACTATATTTCATTTTAAATTTCGTACTGTACAAATATTTTGTTGAAGACGTGTGTACGATGATTTTACAGAGCTTACTGACTTCAGAGAAAACGTTTTCTGTTAGCAAATCCCACTCCTACTGGCTGAGCCTTTGCTCGCCCACCTGTCCTGATGAAACCGGAAGGAGCCACCAGTAATACCTCATTCATAAAAAAAACCTTTTTAATACAACATTTACAATTCGATAAGGATTTTGACTCAACCAATACGAATTTCCCGACGCAGTCATTCGAATTAAAATATATTTCCTATATTTAA